CGGTTCCCCGCCCCCGCGAGCTTGCGTCCGCCCCGGCGCTTCCTGCCCCGCGTCCGGCCATTGTCCCCGGAGGAGACAGGAAGGTCGGGCCCGGCATGGCGGGCGCCGGGGCCGCGGCGCTGGCTCTCTTCGTCGCCCTGCTGCCCGTTGCAGGTGAGCGCGCGGGGACGCGGGGAGGGGACACCCGCGGTCGGGACGGGGGGACAGGGACCTCCCTGGCACCACGAGGTGCCACCACCCAGAGGTACCGCCAAGCAGAGGGGACACTGGAGGGAGGTGCCACCGACTGTGGGCACCATCACCCAGAGGTGCCACCACCTGTAGGTGCCCCCATCCATTGGGGCCACCCCCGGTACTCTCAGAGGTGCCATCACCCATAGGTACCACCACCCAAGGTGCCACCACAATAGGCCCAGATGTACCACCCCCTCTAGGTACCACGACCCAGAGGTGCCAGCTCCTATATGTGCCACCCCCAGCAGTAGACCCATAGGTCCCACCACCCTTAGGCCCAGAGGTGCCACCATCCATAGGTGCCACCATCTAGAGCCCCAGAGGTGCCACCACCCATAGGTGCCACCACCCAAGGTGCCACCACAGTAGGCCCAGATGTGCCACCCTCCGTAGGTACCACGACCCGAAGGTGCCAGCTCCTATATGTGCCACCCCCAGCAGTAGACCCACAGGTACCATCACCCATAGGTCCTCCCATCCATAGCCCCCACCCTTAGGCCCAGAGGTGCCACCACCCATAGATGCCACCATCTAGACCCTCAGAGGTGCCACCACCCAAGGTGCCACCACAATAGGCCCAGATGTGATGTACCTACATGTAGGTACCATGACCTGGAGGTGCCAGCTCCTACATGTGCCACCCCCAGCAGTAGACCCACAGGTACCATCACCCATAGGTCCCCCCATCCATAGCCCCCACCCTTAGGCCCAGAGGTGCCACCACCCATAGTGCCACCATCTAGACCCCCAGAGGTACCACCACCCAAGGTGCCACCACAATAGGCCCAGATGTGATGTACCTATGTGTAGGTACCATGACCTGGAGGTGCCAGCTCCTACATGTGCCACCCCCAGCAGTAGACCCACAGGTACCATCACCCATAGGTCCCCCCATCCATAGCTCCCACTACCCTTAGGCCCAGAGGTGCCATCATCCACAGGTGCCCGGTGTCACCCCTAACAGGTGCCACCACCTGCAGGCCCCACCATCCTTAAGTGACACCCCGGGAGGTGCCACCACCTGTAGCCACCACCTATGAGGGTGAGGGGACACCCCCAGAGGTGCCACCACCGGGGCAGGTGGCACTTGCTGACGTGCTCCTGTGTCCGCAGCGGCGCGGGACGCCTTCCGCCTGCAGCCCGGTGACCTGGTGGCCACGGCGGGCCAGGTGCTGGAGCTGCCCTGCGTGCCGCCCTGGGGCCACCCCGAGCCCCGCGTCACCTGGAAGAAGGACGGCGTCGCGCTGGACCTGGCGTCGGGGCGCTACGAGGTGAGCGCGGCCTCGAGGCGGCCTCGTCCGCCCCGCGTGGCCGTCCCCTCCGCGTTGTCACCGTCCCCTCCGCTCCCGCAGGTGTCCCGCGGG